TGTCATTTCGCCATTGGTATTTGTAGCGGACGTGCACGTGGGCACGATTTTAGCGACGAAAGCCATCGATATTCGAGCGGCTTGTATTGTCTGAGTATCTTTCGATGATACCTAGATATTATCGCGATTTGCATTAACGATACTAAGATATTAGTCGCATTAGACCGTTAGGTGGCAGGATTAAAACATGCTCCAAGTGCCCCCTTACTTCCCGTGCTCTCATGGTGTACTTTGATTGAGTACCGAAGAAACGGCAAACAGATCCGCGGCAATTTTAGTCCTCACCTCCATGTGACGGTAGTTTTAAGGATGTCGAAACTCAAAGTGCCGCTACCTCGCATGGAGACATCCTGCTGTCACCGATGAAGTTGTCTTAATTTGAGTTTGTTTCATCCACTACACATTCAAAATTACATTTATTAGAGAAGGTCATTTTTATAGGTCACATCTTAGTCCTAAAGCACTTTACGCACCGACGTAATGGTCCCGTGTTTTAGGTAAGCTAACAAATGCGCTTCTGATCATAGCTAGTTAGGGCGATGATTTTGTAGGATGGTTAAACTTCTGCGCACCACAATACGAAGCATCTGTCCAATGATTATCAACAGATTCTGAAGCCTTGTAGGAGGATATCGAATTCGTGACATCGGCATGTTCCAACTCTTGTTGTTGTTTAGATAAATCTTGACGTTCGCTGAGTACTTCCAACAAAGAAAAGTAAACGTCGACGATCTTAAATGAAAACTTCTTGTATATTTAGAGTTTTACACCCGAAATCACGTTACGCATGCGATCAGATAGGTGGTGGCACCAAACGGGGTGCGATTCGAGCCGCAACGTGTCCCGTACTCGAAAAAGCGTTGCGGTACAAAATCTGCCTGGAATAATAGCTTATCACGTACTTTTTTTGAAGCACGTACCTGTATAGAAGCAATTTTAATATGCCTTATCCGTTATATATGAACGGGTATAACGAAATCGTATATTGAACTAGTGACCATTTTGGTGAAAAACCGCTTCTTTTAAATTCCGCCACACTGATTCTACGCCTGCACCCTAATTAATAACGCAAAGCTAAAAACCTCACAAAGGCTAACAATTCTGATACTGTAGAGCGATTTGGTAAACTGGCAACGCACGGTAAGATTAATGCCGATTGCTTCTGTCTGAACGTCTTCCAACTATCTATCGTCCGTAAGAACCATGTTTGAACTTCAATGTCTCCGTGTCGCGATCTTGACAGAAGTTGAAAACATTCAATCTCCTTATCAATGTTATGTGCCCTAATCAGTATTTCGAATTATAAACTTTGTCTAATATATCTGTAGCCGCCTTTTTACGTTATTCTGAAGACATGCCGATTTCTGAACTAGTAGTCCGACTCATAATGGTTTACACGATATATGCCGACTTGGTTGATCTCAAATCGGTGCAGTATACCTCATTATAAGAGTCGTATCACATACATTATTCATATAATAGCTATATACTGATCTCTATTTTGCATAACTGTAAAAATTTTCTTTTCTGCAAACAGACCGGATTATCGCGAACCACTGTTCCACAAATTGCTTACTCGTGCTACTCGAAACCCGCATTTTTCCCTTTCTATGTCGTTTACATGTATATCCAGAGGATATCAAAAATTAGGCAAATGCGCGTTCATCAGTTTTTGTTTCCTTAAATATTCGGTGGCAAAATTAAGCCAAAAATAACCAAAAATTAACCTCTGAGGTAAGTCAATACAGTGCATAATACAGTCAAAGATTTTCCCCTACTTGCGCAACCATCTTTCCCTTACCCCCTCAAGGCTAGTTTACTCCTCCATACACCCACGTATACATATCTCCACGTGCAGTAAAATGCGTCCTTACAGACACTACCGAATCGACCTGCTAAAATATTTAAAAGTCGTCATCGGTTACCCCCAACGTATTTTTACTGTACAACCGTGTACCTGACTAGCCAAGCATAATTCTTGCAAAACAGACACATGCACCCCATTTTGCAGGTGTTCAGTACAAAGATGGCAATTACTAAAAGTCCGGGCATGTGACAAAAGAAATGGTACGGGGAACTTTCGACCGATAAGTTGTATACAATCGGTATCGGCCTATTGATACACTGAATCTAAGGCACAAAACAATATTCATTGTATTCTGCCGAATGCGAAGTTATCTGTCTCACTTATTTCCAAACCTTCACGATAGCAGAAGGGCCGCTGAGATTTGAGAAGGAGCAAATTGCTTCGTAAGAACGTGCTTAGCTTTTGGGAACTGTTTTTTTTTTTTTTTTTTTATTTCGTCTCCTTTATGTGCTTTAGATCATGAGCCTCGGTCAAGAATTACAGTGAGATTAAGTGACAAAGCCTTCTGTGACACAGTAACATACACTGGCCTATATTGCCCCGTGACAGACTGACGATTAAGACACTTCGATTAGGACATGGGTACATATACTGGAAGCATTGAATCAAATCACTCCTTTATCATGGACTAAAGCAGTTTGAAGATCACATTATCACTTAAAAACATTTATGTCGACATAGATCATTAGTTAAACAGAATGGTCGAACTTTGATTATGTACGAGAGTTAGCGACAGGGCGTTGAAATCGATTGTTCCAAAGTTCTTTGTGTATAGTAGAGTGCGTTTTCTTCGGCATATGGTTCTTATAGGGTACGGCCCAGAATGCCCTTCTTCGCGTAAATAAGAGTATACAAAGGAACGGTGGTTTTCCTTAGTTAATTAATAAAAGTTGTTACACATTAAAACAGAGTAGGGAAACGCTAGAGTAACAGAAGCGTTAAGACAAATTGAGTTGTTTGGCATAAACTCTAGGAAGCGGCCATAGACTGTTCGCAAACTTTGGAACGCATATAGAGTAGCTACACAGATCTCCGTTGGGTTTTTGTTTTATGTCTAAGGCGACAGATGTCTCGATGCCAATGACCTCTACTCAACCGTTGCAATGTTACAAACAAAAAATAGGGTAGGCAGGCTTCTGGGTTAACACGTTTTATTTTGTTAGATCTTCTGTCATATCCACCAGGAATTGAGTAGGTGCAAGGGGTGCATATTGTCTTTATAACGGCGCAGGCGTCACTAAATCACACCGAGCAGCGGCAGTTGTAATGAATTAGCCATTTTGCCTGTTGCTAGTGGCAATGAGATGTTCTATACCGTCTCCGTCAGTGAATTCAATTACAGTTTTACCTGTCTACAATTGTATTTATCTGATATAACAAACGCTGCGAATAGCTATGGAACCGATAAAAAAAAAGTAGGTTTTAAAGGTTCGAAACACTGGCAAACGAACTTGATATGCACATACCATAAATCTGATACCAGAGTCTCAAGTTCTCTATTTGGTACCCTATTGATCTACTGTGGGGTCATCGAAGCATGAACGAGTCATCGACGTCGCTTTGATTTCATAGGTAGCTTAAAGTTCCAGCAGTGCGAATTTAACTTGAACCGAAGTTTCTCATCACCGTCAAATAATAGTACAACGTAATTGGTTCAGAGGCTCCATCAGCTCTTCAGACCAGCCAAAAGGACGAGCGGAATTCATCCTGAGCAAAACATCACTTCCGTACTGCCTATTCTTTAAGGTCTGTAAAGCGTTATGGGTTAAAAGCTAACGTTCAGTTAACTCAATTTTTTCTACTTTTCACCACATGTGGCAGCACTGGCTCGGCTCGTGCCTTAAGACAACGACAACCTCCGATATCAACGGGTCTTTGATTGTTACAGGAAAGCTATATCCAGTATTTAAATGGCATAACTATTTGATTCGCAAGGATCATCAATTTGTATCATCAGTTAATTAAAGGATCATTAATTAATTGAGTTGTTTGAGAAGTTGAATTTGGTTAATCTTCGCTCTGCCAATGGGCGTTCTATTGGCCAGGAGGGGTGTATAGGGTGGACACAGGAGGCTCAGGACACACAGGCTTGGTAAAAGGACGGTATTTTGTCGTGGTAGGCTGCTCGGTTAAGACTTTGTCAGATGATTCACGAACCATTGTTTCTCCATACATTTGATTGTAAATCTCGTGTGTGATGTAAGTTACTTATGCGCATACGAATATATATAAACTTTACACCTACACAGTCTCAAAGTTTTACATTTGATTGACTAAAACAACTGACTGATTTTCCCACAATAGCACATTCACAGTTTGCATCGCTGAAAAGATCAGAGTCATATTTTTCTTCCTTTAATGGAATAGTCAGATTCACGCTAAAGGAAAAAGTATTGTTTCACTTAAGTGTCTTTGTTTGTCTTGTTCGCTTATTCCATGGCAAATGCTTTATCAAGAAGTATTCTGTACAGTGGATAGGAAAAGGCGGATTATGTATTGTCTGATTCCTAAAATTCAGACGCCAAGAGAGCTTTGCGTCCGTAGTTCTCCCCTACCCAGCTAACTGGCCTGGATAAGCAAAAGATCTTTGCATAAAACGTTTCCGCCGATAATTTTTAACAAAATTACAATTATTCTTTGTTTGAAATCATAATTCAGATGAAAATGTACTACTAACAATGACCATTGTGTAACCGAGTTTCAATTAAAGCATGCCACTCGAATGAGGACATATTTTTTATACGTAGTACATACCAAACATATGACTTGAGAGGCACGAGCCTTAGAAAGCGAAAAGGTAAAACAAACTAATCAATTTTTATTTGGTGGATTGGTTTTAGAATACAGTACACCTATGTTATTCAACCGATTCTGCAGTCTTTACCACAGATGAAGTAACAACAACGTTGTTCAAGTTAACATGAAAACTTAGATGTACAAGGTTGTGGCCATAAACACAACGCTCAAGCTATAGAAGTATGCCAGTTTAACAAAAAAACACTGCGTTAATGAAATTTAATGACATGGTTCCGCAATGTGCGGCTAATAGATTCTTCAAAATTTATTCCTATAAAAAAACGCAAGCAGCAGCGAAACGGTTGTTTTACATGATTCCTTTGGTTTTTATTTTCAGATGGAATCAGGAGGCATCCTCGGACCTCCTGCGTCTGCCGACTCCATGCAGTTCAATCTCGAAGCACTAAGCGGGACGACATCCTCCCTGGGGGCTGCCTCGCCCGCTGCAGCCAGTGGAGTTGGCGCCCTGGCCGCCCTAGGCGCTGTAGCAGGTGGCGTTACTGGGGTGGGTTCCACGATACCGAACAGTTCGGGCGCCAGCACGGGCGGATCGACCGGAGGTGCTCCGCTAGCGGCCGTTAGTGTTGGTGGACTAGGGGTGCTCCCGTTACCACCTTCGCCAACCGCTTCACTGGACGGCGATAAAACAAAACTTACAGTCGATTATGGTTATCGCGTGTTTCGCGAGTACGCCCAAAGTAAGGGCATCAACGAGGTTGACAACCTGCCTGTAGAAGATATAGCCGCGTAAGTTATAACCCTTCGTAACTAACTTCTATTATCATATTAGAATGCTGCACCTCATCAGCCACCATATGTACTTGTATGGAGGGCTGCACGTACACAAGGTGAAGTGTCTAAATTAAAAACTTTCATCATGCCGTAATACTAAAACTGGACCTACACAAAGACAGTAACCACCATTCACGGCGATTACAGCTTTAATTTCGGACTTAAGCCATTCACAGGTTTGCTTCAAAGGTTCCCTTTGCAAATGTGCGAACGCTTTCTTGATGAAGGTACGAATGAGCAAGTCGACGTTGTCATGGGAAAACATGTTGGACCCTCGCTCAATAACGCTCCATACATAGTAGCTTAAAGGGTTCAAATCTGGGCTGTTCGGCGGCTATATGTGCTCATTCCAGAACATGATTCTATTCTCAAGCACCTAATCCTACACTTATCGGTTAGTATGAGTCTGGGCGCTATCTTATTGGACGACATATGCTTTTCCTTCAAAAATACTTCAGCCTTTGACAATCGCACAACTGTTTAAAGAACACGCACATAAACTTCTCTGTTCGCCTTTCTTGAAGAAGTATACTAACATGATGTTTCCTTTGATAGATACTATATTCAGAATATGAATTTCGGCCGAACATTTGTTTATACTCATAATAAGCACATCCTCTAAATAGTGGCAGGTTAGAGATAATTTCTGCTTTGAGGGTTCATTTTTGTATCGAGAATAAGTAATTGCTTGTCAGGGAAAAATTTAGAACGATCTAGTGCTTTAGTCTTGAGAGAATTGAGTAACAAATGACACCACTCAAATCTTTTGGGTTTCATTGCCCTCTGGGAGCATTCGTTTTACTTCTATGTCGTGTGACAAATGTTTGAAGTCCTTGTGAACAAACCGTAACATCGTACACTCGGGCACTTCAAATTTGTTCGCTAAAGCCTTGATCGAAAGAGAGGGATCATCGGAAACGCCCTTTTGAACAACTTTGGAATATGCACTGTCCTTTTTCTGTCCTGAATTTTCCGTCATGCTGTGCCGGAACATGGTCCTGCTTCTTGTGCAGCCGCGCACTCATTTGCGACGCGGTACATAGTCGACTGAAAGTAACCCAAGAAGCTTCTCGTTGACGCTTCGCTCAGAACATAAAGATTGCATAACAGCTGACCTTCGTTCAAATTCCGAAACCGATGAATATGTTGTTTCACTCTAAAAAAGAACGGACTTTCCGATAGCAGGAGTAGCGAATGATCGCATACCTGTTACGACAAATATCCCACCAGTTCTCCTAATTGTAATGCGCCACTCTATCTTTCTCATTGCGTGCGCGCTTAATAAGGAGCATTATTTAGCTTTTTTTTTTTATCTCTCCACGTATATACAGTTGATAAACGTTATAGCAACTTCCTTCAGTGCCTTAAATCAGGAAGGCTTTGGTGAGCTGGCCTAACTTTTAATGACATATGAATCGATGAACCGTGAGGAAGCAACTGCACAAAGTTATTGCCTTTCCCCTTATCACTATACTACTATATAGCAGCGAACAATATTCTGTCAAACACAGTTCGAACCATCGTCGTAGCACGACCGTGTTTCATGTACGAGCCTCTTCCGACAACACAAGCGGGATGCGTCGACACCTCTAACGGACACCACATTAAGACGAATGCTTTATACAATGCTCGAGACATGTGCCATACACTGAAATATAGATTATTTCTTATACATGACTGCGGTGTCACTAAACAGGCTTCTTCAGACGTTTTACGATGAGGCTCGTACGCGCGACGGGGTGCCATTTAGTGCAAATTCTCTGGTTGTCATACGCTACGCCATCAATCGCTATTATCGCTCACCGCTCGTGAACCGCCAGATCGATATTGTGAGGGATCCCGCCTTCCACGAAGCCAATCGGACCTTCAAGAATATTGTACGGAGATTACATCAAGAGGAGAAGCTAAGGTAACTTTTCTTTCGAGCACATAGCGAACGCCCTTCTTATTTTATCGTATAAAAGAGTAAGTCCATTCCCTATTCCTAGAAGATTATAGATCCTCATAGATCAACCGAATTTATCTTGCAAATTACAATGAGGCCAAGACCTCTCACTTGACTGAAAACATTGTAAAAATTGAAAAACGATCGAGCTGTTAGCGGACCACCTCTTCTAATATATGTGTATACAAAGGTCATGATACATACGATTTGCCCACGTAACCAAACGCCTACTACTTCCATTGCTACTAGAAACAGAGATTCGCTCATCATGGTTTAAAATTGTGGGGTAAATTATCCCCGACATGAAAGAGCATTTGTTCAAATAAAAAAAAACAACTGAAGCATTTAAAAATAAGAAGAAACAACTTTGAGTACTATCATCTATCGGTGTATCTTTCTCGGTACACTTTCTTGTGAGTGAAACTGGCACACTGAACCGTAGCTATCGTGGAACAGGAGCCGTTTGGCAACTAAAACTGAATACGCCTTGATCTTCAATCAACTCCTATTGCATTTTCAGAGGTCCGGGCGCTGCACCACAACGTGTACGTTCGAACGTTTTGAGTGAGGACCAAGTAAAACTCCGCGAGTACTTCGTGGCGCATTTAGCGACCCCGCGCGGTCTGCTGCACAAGGTATGGTTCGACATGAGCGGGCACATGGACCCCCGGCTCGTCGATAAGATCCAGGAGCTAACCCGGGAGACCTTCAAGGTCGTACGACGCTGGAACCCAGAAAATAATTGTGCGCTTGCTTCCATCTTTCAGGTGAGGCTATCTAACATCCAAATCATTAAACATGCATCGGTTATTTTTTTAAATGCTATTCTTTTATTATTGTGTGTCATTATTGTCAAATCAATGTTTGAGGGCAGCCGTACTGCTCAATTGGTTGCTACAGTCTCGAAAGTGCAGCACCTGTACATACGTAAATCAGCATGTGCATAGTTTAGGCCGAGAATAATAACATGTTAGGGAGAATTATCGATATAACAGTTTGTAGGACATGCCCTTGTGCCTCGCTATCATCATTATTAACAGTATATAGAAAAACAACAGCAAAAGATGAAGCGGAAAGGGCAGCGAACAGGGGGCAGTCGTGTGGTTGACCGTTCGTTCAAAATCCTACGCTTTATATCCCTGTTCCCCTTTTTAGATACTAAACAGGATCCGAATTCGAGAAAATTGACAACCGCACACACGCACAAATCTTCATAAACAAAACGACATTATCCAAAGCAGAATCCATATACGCCGTATCTATTAAATGCTACCAAGTATATGGACGGTGTCATTATTGCTTATTCCTTATCGCTTTGCTTGTCTACGCTGCGGGTCCGACATTGTCCGATTGGGGTCTTTGTTAAACGGGTAGACGCCACGCTCCTGTCTTACTCCCTCTTTCATTTTTCGTCCTCCGATACTAAAACTGACGATTTTAGGGATGAAGCTGTGTGTCCGTGGGCATAATCGGACCGCTAAAGCCGATCGCACGATGGTCCCTTGATCGTTTATTTAGTATATACATTATTAATATTAAATCTATACTAAATGTAGCCTCATGAACAGGACGGATCCTGTGGGGTAGAAGTAAACGGGCTGTATCAGAAATCAGAGAATCAGACATCATCATTGTAATCATCACTATCGTCGTTATTCGGCGTGTGTTGCTAATTCATGGATCCTTCGGCAGTGGCAACACGGAATCGTTATACCTTTAGCGTTGAAATTGATCAGTCTCTATTTATAATTAACATTTATATTAACAATAATATTTTACATTAATGAATAAGCAGAAATTGTCTGTTTCTATAGCGACCCTGTACTCGAGTTGAAAGCGGTGGTCGGTAACTGACGGGGAAAGCGGGCTGAGGCCGGGCCTTCGAGTCATTTATATATGACACGATGTTTCTTAACGTCCAGCGTTAGAGATACAAGGCGTTGCTATATATTCTAGTTCTACTTTCGCTTTCTGAGTCCGTTTATTCTCAATATTTATTTTACGTCTTTCCCCAATTCTGCAAGTCTTTGTTGAACGACTATTGAACATTTTGGAAATTATTAGATATCATTAATTACCCAAACTTAATCGTCATTCTACATCCCTGGTATGATGATATAGCCGTGAACGCTGTCTGTCGACCTTTGTTGTGCCTCGTACCTATTGCAATTATGCAAATAGGCATATGCACTCTGTACATATATTAATGCTCGTGTCTGTGGTTGACTGTCTATTCTAATCTAGTAGACTGAATCTCAGTTTGCCCCTGCCTTCCCAGCGTCTTCCGTGTACCCTCCTCCTTACACTTGGCTGTATCAACGAGTCGCATATGGGTACCTGCGGAATGAAAACCGTATTGCAACAACTAATTCATCCATATATATGTTCCAAACACCGTAGGTACTCCGATTTCACCAATGAGATAAAGATTCGAATTACGTTACGGTACGCGTCCTTCTTATGGCCATTTTCGTGAACTCGATGCGACAGCGCCGAGTAACCAATAGTGACGCAGGCACTCCATTGTTCTCTTTGGTAAGTAATATCGAGTTTTCCCTTCACGATGGCCGCTGTTAGCACTGCAGTGGTATTCAAAAACAAAGCCCATAACTGAGCAGAAATTCGAAATAAAAGGCTTTGTCGTTAAATAGTGCTGTGCTTTTTCTCTTCAACTCGATAAGCAGCCCGTTGCGTCGCCTCTCTGAGTACATTTTATCGATCGCGAAACCGAATTCGAAGAGTACCTCGGCAAAGGGGAAGATAGGGGTCAAGACAGTCAAGTGCCCAAGGACTTGTACACGTCCTCGTGCATCTGTCGATCGTGGCAACAACCGTTGAAGTAATAATAGTAGTGATGGTGTGGGTAGCGGTATAAGCGATAGCTTTTGAAATCTAAGAAACAGCTAAAATCTCGCCGTCGTTACCGGGTCAGTTGTATCGTAATCGTGTCGATGATGGCGGTAATGCGACAACGGGCCTTATTCAGGCAAAGCCGAACTTGTTGCAGGAACAGGCCATCGAACGGTGACGAAAGACAGACACGACACAACGCACTCCCATTCCGATAGGCGGAAGACAATGCTACCAGCCATCGAAAGCACAAGCGAACTCCCTCAAAAGGCAGTCCGTCCACAAGTACTATTAGCATTGTATTGTGTGCATTCGTTCTCGAGGAGACACACGTATTGAGTGTAACAGCACGAGACAACCATACAAATGGCAAACATAAACCCGGTGTATAGGTTCTTCGTTCGTTATCGAAGGGAGAATGTGGGAAAGTATTGTACGAGTATAGTCAACGAAATTATATGAGTGCAGGCATATGAACCGCCTGACCCGTCTGGGTTATAATTACTTAGTTGAGATCTTCATTTTAAAGCTTTGAAATGCGTTCATCATGAGGATGTAGGAGCAAATATCAGAGCACCTATTACGACTACTGGTAAATTACGCAGTAAATGTAGAAAGCATACAATTGTTCAGGATGAGCTGGACACGGTCAAACGGGAAAAGCCACGCTCAAGCTCAACTACTGGAACAACAAACTAATATTAACATGAGGTTGTATGGGTGAATGGCTGGAACAAAAAGAATTTTTTCTCACCTGTATAGCTGAACTATGTGTAATCGTGTTCCGTATGTTTCGTCAACTTATTAAAGTTGAACCTTCCCAAGATGACTTATTCCGCTTATATTCCAATCAAATTTATTTCGATTCCGATACGAAATATCTTTTTGCCTGCCGTCATCAACAACAATGACATCTAGCAAATAAGGTTTATTCTAGTATTGTTTGTCGTAGTTCCCTTCAACTCACCGTGTCGATGTTATACACGTTTTTAGCACTTTCGCCACCGAACAGCTTTTCATAAATTAATTATACAAAGGAGCACCCTTTCGTATTTGTTAGTGCGTTATGTGTTGACCTACATTTGGGCTTTCTTAAACCTGATTCTGCCTTGAGGGTTTGTTCGAGATACGCTTTACCAATTCGAATGCTATAGCTTGCAGAAATCAAGCCTAAAACTTCAACTGACCGCCATCTAAGGAGCCGGATAATCAGGTCAGCGTTTTCAGTGCATCCTCCATGTACACTAAAAATACTTCATTTCGACATAGCAAAACCTTTACTCTCTTTAGAAGCCCAATTACCCTTGTACGCATCTGGCAGCGAGAACGTCTTTGGCATTGTAGATGTACTGCTTTTTCTATTCAAATATCAGTTTGCTGTCTACTGCTTGTGAGAGAAGACAGATTTCTTAGCCGCTAAAGTAACCAAATGGTTGACATCAATTACGAACGATTTGGATATTTGACGGGGTAGAAATGCTCGATCTAAGGTCAGAAGACCCTGACAGTTTCTGTTCACGATCAATTCGTAATTAACTCCCTCTGACACTCCGTGTGTTTCTTTACGATTACTGCAAACTCGATGACAATAACAACACTCGGCAACTTATTGCACCAATGCGCCGGCCACGCAGCCTGCCTCTGCAAGTACGCGTAAGGCCCAGCCCTATGCTCTAAAGGTCTTCCTTGATTTACCCTTATCTATAATTACGTATTAGATCTAGTTGTAACCGCTAAAGCCATGTAGTACTCTAAGGCACGCAGAAGGTAATCGGACCGCAGCAGTAAGCGTCGACGTGTATGCTCTTTGCTGATAATTAAAATTATACCATTACGAATTGATGTTGCCTTCTTAGATGGGCATTGTCTCATAGCAGTCAACAAATCAGCCCGAAAACCCCCTTCGCCCACTCTCCTCACGATAATTATGATGGTGCATTTTTAATTTATTCGTCATCTAGCCAAGCATATCATCCATTTCTATATCTGTGTGTACGAATATCTCTGTATGTGGATAGGTGCGTCTCTAATGTTTCTACTGGCAATAGCAGTCACCGCTACCACGACAGCGTTGGTAACAGCACAGACAATCGAACAACTAAGTAACAGTAGTCGAAAAAAGGAACGAACGAACAAAGTAATTTGAAAGAACTAGATGCCACATATGAAGTAGCCAGGCACACAGGGGCCACCCGACTGGGGGTCAGCGCTGAAGCATCATTGGCGAAAGAACGCGAGAATGGGAGAAGGCCTACATAACACTGGCCCAGTCAGGCAGTCACTTCGAAGGCCTCAGCAGGCTTCTTGCTCAGTTAGTTCGATCGGACAAAACTGCCAGCCACGCCAACCAACCACAAGTTACGAACAAATGAGTACAATAGATTTTCGTGTCGTCACATGCCTGTGTGCACGATACCTTTACGGGAGGAAAGCCACGACAGAACGGCGGGATGATCGCTTTCTCTCTAGCTTAAAGCGGAGAGCTAGGGGGCTGGTGACCGACTTTGTTCTACCGGCGCGATTGCGGTAACGTTTGAGGTACGTATAGGCGGCACCAACAGAAGCTGCAACAGCAACGCCGATGGCTGTTTCGATGGTTCTTTGACTAGGTGAAGCCTGCCTTAATACTTGTAACTGCTCCTATTTGACTCCTCTTTAACTGCTGTCTACCACTGCGAACAAGTTCGTCCAGAAAGTGTTATCGTCGTGTTTTTCTCTCCTTCTATACGTAGCTGTTCCGGTCGTCGCAGTGAATCGGTTGCTTAAGATATTGCTGCTTCACTATTGAAAGAAGCTACTGTAAATATCTGATCGCGGACCGGATGCTCAGCAGAACCTAATAGTTTCTGTCCTACGCGTTTTCAATCTTAACGGCACATTCTAGGCGGCCAAAATAGTTTGGGTTCGTGTTCCTCTTCAGATACACAACTAAAATCAACGTTCCACAACCTGGCGAAGGGTCGTAACGACGCTGCTGTGTTCGCGCCGCAGATCACTTGCACCACTGATAAATTGGTTACAAAAGAAAGAAGTCTACCGAATTACAAACAAATGATGATCCAAAATATATTGTTTGTTGAATAAAAGTTAACGAAGTATGGAGCAGGGGTTGTTGTTTGTTTGTTTGTTTGTTTGTTTGTGTGAAGCGCCCTGCATGGTTTTTAACGAATCAGGAACAACTATGAACTGTATCAGATAACCGGTGATGTGCCGGTCAGAGGAGGGAAGGACAATGGGCTTTGTGCCGTCAAAACTCAGCACGGCGTCCAGAAGAAAGTAAAAAAATGTTGTGTTAACGAAGTGATAATTTATATAGTACTGTCGTATTTTTTTTTTTACTCTGGTTTGCTAAACTTAACTGTGATATCTTTTCATTATCTTTGTTCGCATCCTCAGCCGCCGTAAGCTACGGCATCAGATTTTGCCTCTATACTACGAATTTCTTCGAGTTAGAGGCGCAGCAGTGATACAGTGAACAATGACGATCAAATCATCGCTGAACTCTTCAAAGATTGAAGTTATTCTTACTTAGCAGCGTGGGGACCGGCGCTTTTCCGACGAATGTCATTGTTGGACCCCAATACTAGTTATGAGTTAAAACAGTTCAAATAGTAACTTTAACTCTCAAGACGACCTTGGTAGAAAATATTGAGGAAAACTTAAAAAAATTACATGCGCCGGAAATACGTTTAGCTAAACTACGGTACATAGCGGCGCGTTAATGCAGCAAAACAATTCACAGAATCGTTTTCAGACGAAACATTCCAGCGACAGTTCTCGCTATCTAGCGCACATTTTTAGATGACAATGATTATTTTTAAATTTATATATATAGGAGTATAAGATAGTGTAAAAATATTGGGCATTATGAATCGTAACTGGGTCTACGAAGCGGGTTGCACACTTGTCTAATACGAAAATAGTGACTAACGTATAGTTACCGTGATGGTTCTTTTGCAGCTAATAGACAATGGGGAACCGAGTACGGCGATCTTGACGGAACGTCCCGGCGACCCACTTTGCCCTGTGCGATCTTATGAAGCCTACCTTGCCCGCCTCAATCCCAACTGTCAATCGCTATTTCAACGTCCCAAGGACATTGTTAGTATTGTCTTGTGTTCATAAGCATTTTGTTTTTCCATGTGCTAAGTTTCCGTTCTCAATCATTAATTGCCATTCGGATCGTCCGTAGAAATGTTCGGATGGATTAGTCAAATGTACTGGGGCTGAGTCGATGAAAGGTAGGATCGAGTCATTTTTCAACCCCTTTTCAGACTTCGATTAAAGAAACAATAGTTACAAATCTTCGCTATATAGAATTTTACTTAGCATAGAACATGTATTGTTGGCGTCTGCGTAGGTGAGTGCGGGCGAGGCAATCTGGTTCCATAACTCACCGCTGGGCAAAACGTTGCTTTCGAAGATGATGTCTTCAATCTCGAAGTGCGCACAGCTATCGCGTGTCTACGGCAAGTCGCGCACCTGGGCCGCGGCTGGCTTCGGTCTCAACAAGCCCGAACAAGCCTCGACAGGTTCGCGGAGATCGCATAAGAGCAGCAGCAGCAGCAACAACAACAACAACAACAATAACAACAACAACAACAACAACAACAACAACAACAACAACAGTAATAATAAAAATAACAATCATCATCTCCATCACCTTCATCACGGTGGAAACAACAACAACGATACGTTCTCGGTAAGTCAAGAGACGCATTTAGAGAGTCGCTATCTGTGATGTTGGATCACGGCACGGATAAAAGATAAATAATATATCACGTTGCTATTGCTATTGTTATATATGTACAATTTATGAGAATATGAAGAGTTAAGCTAAAACCAGATCGACTACTCAACACGTAAAGGATAAGTATTGAGTAGTTGTGCTGGTATTAGCTTTTGATCTTGTTCTCGACGCCAAGGCCAGTAGGAAAGCACTAGTAAATATCAGGCATAAGAGTTAGCTTACGGTAATCTCATTGGCGAGGATGGGTGTTAATTAACATTGTTCTTTGTCAAAAAGCCAAGGAAATGGTACTCGGACTCCATTTGATAGTGCTTCGTTTTTAGCAAAACTGATATTCTGGTGTTGTGTCGCTCTCGGTGGTGATATAATGCTACTGACCGACATTTTGTTTACTATGCCAGGTTGACATGCTTCTGCAGGCGGAGGCGTTCCAAGCGTCGTTCAATCCTAAGGCTCACACGAACCTGCTCAGTGTCAGCGGTATGGGGATATCGGGCTGTCAACAAGCGCCAATCCTGGCCTCGTTGCTTCCTGTCTGGCAACAGCAACAGCAGCAGCAACAACGGCAGCAACACTCCGGTTCGACTTCGCCCGCCCCTTCCGCGCAGCACCGGAGCAACGGTGATATCGCTGGTAATTGTCTACTTCATACGGGCCATATGAAGTAGCTAGCGTATGAAGTATGTACGTACAGCTACTGTTCATAGCATGACTATTGCAGATCTTCAAGGCCGATAATTACGCAGCACGTGGCGTGCCCTTCTCTGGGCTGGCGTCTTTTTGTTTCCGTTCCTTGCCAATAGCAAGATCTACCAAAACATACCATTTAGTAGCAATTATGTAATACGTACGACAGTATAATATTTTGAATAATATAGAGACAAATAATAGCTTTAAATGCTAGTTAAATGCTTACGATCTCAATATTGACGTTATTTATTTTGCCTATGTGATTACAGATAGCGGCATGGTTAACGCATTGATAAGAGACGCATTCTTGAACCACCCGCTCTATCAAGGCAAACTCTTCCCTAGTTTGCTGCAAGGAACAGAGGACTCACGGCGGGGATCAGACAACCTTCGGTCGCCCGATGTAGCCGAGATGTTGGGCTTCGAAGCGTTAAGCATGCTGGGTTTGCCTCTTAGGCCGCCCGGACCCTTGCGCTCGTACCAGACAGGTGGTGGGCTAGGCGCCCAACAAACTCCTGTAGCCCTACTCAAGAAAGGAAGCCATTCTTCCGATGGGCAAGGTGGGCGCCGCCTGCGAAGCTCATCTCCCCCAGCGGCTGATTTGCATACAGTATTCGAGTGTAGTCCTTCCTTCCGAGAACGGTCTCATCCCGCGCGTGATTCGAGAGACTCGAGGTCAGGTTCCCGTTCTCCAAGTCCTTCTCCCGGCCGATCCCATTCCACTAGCCCCGATAACAGTAACGTTCTTGTCATCAACCACACGCCTCATCAGACTCGATCGCCACAAGTGCCACCGACCAGCAGTAACCCAGGTTAGTTAATATACAAGGGCGTACCTGTAATAATATGAATAAGGCTAGCACAAAACAGATCGCGTAGGTACCAAGTAACCTACGAAAAGATCTACGTTTGAAGAAGCCCATTGAAAAAGGAATTTGCGAGCTAAACAACGTGCAGTTTGCGATTCATGAGCTTCCAGATAAAATAGCAAACTGTTTAACATACTTTTAAGATGTATAACTGTAATAATTTCTTCTGCGACATGCCCAGTGTTTTCTAAGTGTGGACTTTGCCGAGGCCATGTTAATCAAGGATTCCCGCTAGTAAACCCCCTATTATTTATCTGGGCATGAACAGTTCTAATGCTAAAAAACTGAGCGTTATAACATTCAATTGTAGCGTACGATTTTATTACGAAATGTTCAGCTATACTTGCATTAATTGTATTCTGAGCCCTGCATTCCCCATTGGCTGTAACTTAGATGTCGGAACGGTTTGGACTGAAAGCCTCGTGTTATACAGTTTTGCGGCCAAGCAATACCTTCTATCCTAAATTGCTTCTCAAGAACAAACCAGCGAAAAAGTTTTGCTCAACCTCTCTTGAGAAACCCTTCAGTTTCTTAAGAACGCCCACCTCGTAGGCAATTTTTAGTTGCATCGGTAGCCTCCTGAGACGCCACAGATATATTTTTGATCTAGGGGCGTCTTTTATCATAATTTGCAATCGATAAAAATCAACGGCGAACAATTGCAAACACACACGGCTGTCTGCACACCGTACGTGAAGCGTATAGAAAAATAACTAAGTGCGAACATTTTCACGAAGCTGTTTATGCACAAGTAACTGTACAACCCTTCACTTATCCTTTGCCTCTGCAAGGCTTTTTCTATAGCATATTGTACAGTATAGCTTTAACCATGTATATAATGAGACTTATTTTACCCTTTGATTTGAAGGCAGACAGCCAGGCTGTAAGTCCTTGTTGGCGATGATCGTTGGGGACCTGTTTTCTTGATTGTCTGAATTCTGCTCTGATGAACCAGAGTGACAAGCGCAGCCGCAGTGGCCGTGCACTGGGACTTGCTTCAACTCACCGTCAGCTTTGGCTCTCGCTTTTATGCAGCTGTATTTCTTCTTATCGATAGTGTTCCAACTACGGCTACGGTTGCCGCTGTTGTTGCTACTGCAGCTTTTGCTGCGTGCTCGCCAACGGCTTACAGCGTCGGTGACGTCCCCCGTCATACTTCTACCCTTGCCGAAGTGCTGGACTATACATGCCTGCGTAGGGCGCGGTGAGCGACTGTAGGGTGCGTACACCGCTATTGCCCTCAATAGTGGTGACTGCCGCAACCGAAGCAGCATTGAGTGCCAATATGCAAGCATAAATCGGCGCGCCAAATCGGCGAATCTCTGGGTTGATTAGGGTAGCCCGTCGCTCGCTCGGTGTGTCTGTCGGTCTGTCGCTTGCTTGCTCGCTCGCTCAACGCAAGAGCTCGCCGTCGACAGAGAAATGCACCAAAGAGGAGTTTCGAGGGGCGTCAGAGAGGCGGCAGGCAGGCACTTCACCAACGCGCCGCTCCCATCCATTTCATCGGGAACGCGCGCTATAATGCCCCCTAGCCTCAATGATCCCCATCTCCTAATCGAATCCACAGCTCTGACCGACTGTTAGCCCCTCTGCCCCCTCGATCCCTTTCTATTTCAATGATTAGTAGTGGCTCCTTCTAGTGGAGACGTTTGCAACTATGCGCGCGTTTCCCTCGAGGCATGCTTTCCCTCAACAACCGCTAGCAGCAGAGAAGCGGTGCTACCGGGTGCCAAGTGCACCGACTATTCGCAACGGCAGTAGCAGGCGCTTTGGCCAGCATTTCCTCTCCAGGCCGTTCTTCTCCTTCCCCCTCTGCCGCGGCTACCTACTGCTGCTGCTGCTGCTGCTGCTGCCGCCGCCGGCACCCCTGCAGCAACCGCCGCCGTCGTCTTTCCATCTAATTACAAGTGAACGAACAGCATTGTCGGCATCGACGCATCAGGAACATTGTAGAATGGAAGGGGAAATTTTGGGATCGGCAGACAAGGGGAACTCGGCTGGATTTGCGGTCCTGGGCTGGTTCTGAGGGGACCCAGAAATAGTGACGGAGGCCGGAGCGATCGTGTGGAGAGAGGAGGGCAGCATGGGCATGAAGGGGTAACAAAGGCAAGAGCCGCTCGTTGGTCGGGTGAATGAGTGGGGTTTCAGGGGGCGGGGAGAGCTTCGGGAGGAGGAGTGGTGCGAAAGATGGAGATATTTCACAATATGATTCAAACAAAATGACTCAGCAGGAAACATAGGCAGGAAATACATGCGTACATACATAAGCACGCCCAGGCCACACAAACACAGCGGCCGTATGAACAGACAGACCGGCATACAGATACTCACATACAGCAGGCGATGGGAGCAGAAACAGCAATAGCAGTCGAGGCACTCACACAACGCGGTACAGCGAAGTATAGCCTGCCGGCAGGCGACTGACATCGAGTGCTCACTTACACAACGAAAAGGAATGAGCAGCGTTCGGTGGAAATATGACGGTTGGCGGCGATCGCCCCGGTAGCACCAGCAGCAGCGGCGGCGGCAACGGGGGTAACTAAAGAAGACGGACCAACGAACGTCGAAGGAATAAACCGAATGCTGGTGGCAGGCAGTACGGCGGTGGAAATTAGGGGTACGCATAAGGGATAGAGCAAGCAATGTTGAGTATGAGTGCTCGAGGAACACGGAAAAGGGAAAAAGAAAACGAAGGGCACAGTACTGCTTTTGCTGTTCGTGGTACTCCTTCCAACTGCTACTGCCGACGCTGCAGTGGCACTCCTCAGCGTTAGGCACAAGGCTCAAGAACATAAGGAACACAGACAAGGCGCAGCAGAATAAGGAGGCTGTAGAGCGGTGACTCCTTTGCAATAGAAAAGGCACCGATGAACGGGAAGACAGCGCACTAGCGAGAGATAGAGAGAGAGGGGGAAGGGCAAAGAGATTCAAAGACAGTAGCAGATGAGTAGCGAAGAAAAGGAAGAGCCAACAGAGGCAGCGATGGCAGTCAACGCTACAGTGAACGAGAAACTAACGCCACTGCTGGTGCCATCAGTTCGAAGCAGCGAAAACGAACGATGCAGCCCGAGTCTTCCCAACAACGACTAAAAGATTTCGATGCCATTTTGAGTAGTAGTAGCAACGAATGAGCATGCGTTTCAGAACGACAGTGATGACGACGACGACGACGACGGCGACGACAACGATGACGACAATGTCGCTAGCGCCTGTGACTGGTGCTGGGCAAGAAAGCAGAGCTATGGAACAGAGGAACAGGGAAAAGGGGTACGCGAAAAGGAGTTACGAAGGCGCTCTTACAGCGGTATGAGTAACGAGGGAACTAAAGGGATATGCAGGAGAATGAACGACGGTTGCGAGAATTATGGATATTGGCGGCAGCCTCCTGATGCAAGAGCCTTCGTAAGGGCACGTTCGAAAGAAAAAGGAATGGTTATAAGCAGAGGCTTCATCTTGGGGGCAGACTGAAAGTAAAGGTGCAGAGTAAGAAAACGAAGGAGGAAGTCGCTGGCAAAGTGCGAGAGAAATATAGTGAGTATGAGATGGTTGTGCGTTTGTCTGTACTGGTTGGCAACCACGCAGCCCGATGGGATCGTCGAATGGGTGCGACTACGACATTGGCAATGGACAGTGAGGAGGGGAAATTTAGAGACTGCGCCAATTCGAAGCAAATTCAAACTTGGCCGCGTCACTTAGAGTAACTTCAGAGCCGATGGGGTGAATAGGAAAGATTAAGAGGAAAAACCGTTGCCGTTGAAGATGTGGATGGCGTCGATCCATACTCCAGTAACAACGATACGAATTGCAACCCCCTGTCGAATGCTCTCAATGCAGCTCTATAAGAATGAGAAAAATTGGACGCAGCGTAGCCCCATCAGCTGGAAAAAAAACAGGGATCAAAGTAGATAGTCGTAGAAATGCCAGTAATCATAGTAACGGTAACAGCGCTAGCAGTAATCATACAGAAGTTTCGAGGACAGAAACAGAAAGTGGAACGATAGGTGAAGGATCTATATGAACGCAAATAATAATAAATATAATGTATACACCTCTAGCTAAAAGGCCTTAAAGCGCAGAATGATAGATGCGTAGGGCGCTAACCCTATGAATTCATCTCTGGAGTTCACTAATAAAGATGATGGGCTCGATTGTGTTAAACAAATCAAAGGCTATTTTTTTAGTACGTACAAATATGACGTTAGCAGCCTCTACTGCCATACACGACTAGGTTTATTCGAGACTTATTTATTATAAGTAAGGCATTCAACTTTGCTTTTTGTATGCACAAAAAGGTGAGTTTTAGGTAAAGTCCGATAAAACATAGTCTTGATGATAGTTCCCAGCCCCAAAGTAACATTTAGCTTCCTCGTTACACCTTCAGCTGGGTCACATATCATTTCAGGACGGGGTAGTGTGAATAGGAATACTTTTACAAAGTTACAACTGTGACATCCTTATATCATACTTAATTTTCAAGAAAATTTCCATAAATCACTCCGGAACATTTGTCTTCGAAATGTCGTTGGACATCGCAGAATATTTAACAAAGTAATGACGTTTATTTGCAAATTTCTCTATTTGAGTAAAATTAATCCCCGCATGACACCGATACTGTCGTACTAAATTTGTCCATAAAAGTGGGCGAACGTTTTATTAGTCAGTAAGTCCACCTAACGATTTTCAGTGCTCTGCTTCAGTGATTCAAGAGTCCTAATCACGCATTAAAACTGATTAATGAGTTAACCAACCATAAAGCTTACATTTTTCATACTCATCAGTCTTCATGGTTTGTGGGGCGAAAGGGGAATTGCACTTATTGGCACCTGGGAACAGCAATCCAAACTGAGTATAAGGACAATTGATTCTTAACCTAGATTTCGTTGGGTGTGCTGTCAGATGTCTGAATAGGAGTAGCTCTGCATGTGTCTATCATGTGCGTACATATAATCTTCTGTTCTTTTTTTCTCAGTCGCCAAGCGCTACAAGCATTATATTTTTGCCCATTTCGCATTGCTCCTGCCATTGAGACTAGTTCCCTAGTGAGCTTGGTTGCCCTGAGCGGCGCGGGGACGACGCGCAGAAAACGAGAACACGGCTGGTCCCTCAACAACGCTCTTACTTCTGCGATCTATTTGTCTAAATTTAAACATGTCGCGTGTCGAAGTTCATCTGCGGCCCCGGGGCTCTGCGGCTTGGGATACCCTCATATGATTATTTCACTTTTGCTATTGTACACTAGTCATCTTATTTTCGTACGCACGGTAAACGTAGCTGTAACTAAACAGATCGATGGAACACCTTTTGTTCTTCGCTTCAGTGGGGGCTTCGGGAGTTGCGGGTAAAGGGGAACGTCTGTAGGACGTATGTTATGCTTGTAGTGCATATATGGGTGTAGCTCATAACAATTAGTCGGTCGTTCCTACAGTGTTGAAAGAGTATAGATAGACATAAAAACCTTATGCTTACTCAATTTGCGGAGAAATTCAAAGAACAGAAGTGCGGATGGTACGGTTGGCTCGAGCGCTCTATCTCTATTGAAATAGTTTTTGGCAAAGACAAAAGGCGATATCAAAATGGCAGTACCAACCTTTTCACACGACATTTCAAGGAGGGAAGATGTAGCACGGAGTCTAGTGTAAACAAGTGATCAAGGTTGAATATCTTACTAATTTATTTATCTATCGACGCTATTTTGCCTTTTGCGTAAAGTATGGAGAACTATTCTTTCACCGCATGAAGTTGATTTATATTAATATATGCTGCAGTAGCAGATAGATGAATGCTTGGAGAATTTGCTTTTATTGACCATTATCCTCTAGGTTCCGTCCCGAGTTCACCTCAGCAGCCGTCCCGTTCTCCATCACCGTCGCTGTCAGTGCCGCCGACATGCTCGTCTCTAGGAGGGCCTCGGGTACGTGCGTGCAGTCAATGCCTTGCCAAGTGTGGTACCTCGCTGTATACACTTGGCGGACCCCATTGCACGCAGGAACACACGTTCTGCTCAGCTATGTGCCTAGGTCAATGGGCTTCTGGTCAAGCACAGGCTAGCCTGTTAAATAGTTCGGGTTCATTGTCTGCCGATCAGGACTCCAATCAAATCCGCGAAGGCCACGTCTCACGCTCTAACAGTGCGTCACCAAACAACGCCCGCGCATGTGACTTCTGTAAAATTAATTCGGTAGGTTTTTGACACAATGGAACACAAATCTCAAGCAGCATTCACATTAGAGCGTAATTTAGATTGAAGAAACATTTTCGAGTGTCTATTAAACGAACAATGTTACGCTTGGAAAGAAAATGTGAGTCCTAAAAAGCAGGGTCTCTTATCCATAACTTTCCCTCGTAGCAAAGTCATATCTCTATTTGATATTTTGTGACTTTTTTAGGTTCCAAAGAACTCCCCTCACCATATGGTCGCTGCTGACAACTCTCTCAAAAGCTTTTGCAGTATCGAGTGCTTACAGCTCTTTGATTTAGCGCCCAATGCTTCCAATCGGCGCAGAGGTAAGAAGCATCGTACGATGAAAACTATTTGTCTGAATCCTAATTAGCTATAGTCAATGGAATTTTTTACTTCGCTGTACATACATGGCATAAGTTTTTGATGTTCAGGTCGATGTAATAAAATTACATTCACATTTTCTACGTATAATAATATATGTGACACAGTTTCGGTGAATATATCAATGAATAGTTATACCCAAATTTACTAAAAAGGCCGATAGATCGAAATATTGATATGAAGACGATGTTAGGTAAAATGAGCGAACTTTAATGACCGTACTTAAAACTTATACTGACAAAAAAGTACACATGCATATTCGTAATGAGCCTATTGTTCATCTGGTTAAATTCCAGCTTCGAATGAGGCTGCAAACGGTGACGCTTCGTCTCCTGGCTCTCAGGCAACATCAGTGACGCGAAACGTATTAAGGCATTCAGCATCATCTCCTGGCCCTGACGAAGAGGAGCGGCCCTTGAAAGTGGCACGTAAGAATCCTGCCCCACAACGCATCGTAAGAGGTGAAGAGTTGGTTCTCGAGGTGGCGCCATTCGATCTCGGCGGCTCCGATGGCGAAACTGACGCTTCCATGTCTCCGCTTGATTTCAGCACCAAGTCATGAATCGTGCTGGACCCGACTCGAATTTCCGCACACCTCTTTCTCAAAAGATCTTGTAGCCAGAGTGGCTAACATAGAAGGGTAATCCGGGAAGACATTCGCCTGGAAAATTAATTGTCGATCTTTTTTAATCTATTACAACTTTATAGAATCTATTCCAAGAAGAAACGCAATTGTCCGGAGTCGCTCGTGTGGCAGAAGTTAGTGTTCTTTGGCAGGGCAGGCCAAGGAAGCGGAACGATCTTTTTACAACTACATCCAGAATGAGCTGAGTATTATTACATTCTGTAAATGATAATAATTCAGGCCTGACGGGAGCAAAGCTGACTCGGGCTTTTGGTTAGCCCATATGGCTTACGGCCAGCTAAGTCAATGCCTATTGAATAAGCGATAGATTACCATGGACAGCTCAGGTGCCTTTTTCACTTCATAAATGAATTCAACGGCCGAAAATTCGTTCTGTGTCGTTGCTGTGTCTTTTCGTGATATGTGCACCTTCGTTGCATGGATCTTCCTAAGATATTTTCTTCAAACAGCATACAGCTGGCAAGGTTATTGGTAGTTCTTTTTCAATATCTTCTTGATTAGATTGCTGCTAAATATATCGTGCTAATACCACTTCACGTTTGAAAGCATAACTCATAATCGGAATCTAAGCTGTTCATGTATATCTTATTGTTTGGCGGAAGTTGAGTTACTCCTCTTATTGGCGTAACTACGAAGATTGATAATTGGCCCTTCATATGTAAGTGTTCGAGAAGTAAGTTTGAAGACAAATCGGCTTATGTATGGGTTGGTTGGCACTCGTGAGTAGTACTTCTGGTACGACTTGTCTGGACGAGCTGTTAGCAACTAAAAACCAGACTGCTGTTAGATAAGACCGTCCCGGTGATAGCGTAGTGAGTGACGTATTCGCGTGCAAAACTAATCCTAGGGACACGTTGCGGCACAGGTTCGAAGCTGCCCGTGGACAAACATATTCGTTTCGAGCTGCGAACCAGCCATCCGATGTAGCTATATCGCTATAACGGCGATACCAATAGTAGAACAACTTGGCTAAAACTATATGTTGTTAAAATAACTATAGTTCACCCAACGCCACAGCCCCCCGCGAGACTATTCTTATTTTTACAGTAATGATTATTACCATCTGCATTAGAAGGTTCTCCCAATATAACAGTATCTAAATGTTTGTTCGTTCTATACTTTCTACTTTTCTGTGGAGAAAAACTTCGTCCGTGGATATATCCTATAGCGAAGACATTCGCCTACTAATTATCGCAATAATTAAGGTGTGGCCACTTGCTTCGGTGAATCTGAGCGGCGTGTAGTATTAAATCTTGACAATATTGAGTTATTAGAACTTGATGGGAAGATTCTGACGAAGTTAACCTTAGCTTGCTTGTGACCTAATAGAGAACGAAGAAAACCCATCCCGAGAGAAGATCCATCGACAACACGTAAGAAACGAAACTGAGTATTCCTTGTGTAAAGATCGTCGTCGAGATTCGTTACGAGCGTATTATTCCACCGAACTGATGATGACGCAATGCTCGTGAAGTTCCTGTTTAAACTCACAACTTGTAGAGAGCAGACAATTAGATATTACACGTACGGCAACAGAGCGTCAGGCTAAGGCTGACGAATGGAGCAAATTAGGGAAAAGGAAAAAAATTGAATAGAAATTTAACAACGCATATATGCATAGTTAGACAATATGAATAGTGATATCTATAGTAATAATATAGGAAATGCTGACGTTCTAGTCTTAGATGATGAAGTGCTATCAAAATTTGCTCTGGTATACACAGGCGGACATGTTTAAATACACTAGCAGTGTTATTATATTGTACGATAATATATATAGAGAGAGAGAGAGAGAGAGAGAGACTGAAAATACATGACGTCCCCAATGCTGTATAGGACAACCTACTTCCTAGCACAGATACCGTCGCCTCTTATTCGCCACAAAATACAACAAGGGTTCATCTAGTCAATGCAATATATATATATATATATAGGTAGACAAAAATGAACATTTTTCCGTTATTATCAAATGGTACACAAACAAACAAATGACCGTACGCTAGTATTAAGTACAGTATATACATATAATGTAGCAACTCAGTGACCCGGCAAATTCGAAATCAACAGATGAACCTGATGACAATGCTGCTATATAGACGAATTAAGAAACTGAAAGGGAGACAGGAAGGTATACATAGCGGTGGATGAGGGAAAGGCGATAGGCTTTTCTTTCATATTTATTTATTTATGATAATATAGTCCATTTCGTAACCCTGCTTAACGAATGAGATAGACCAAAGGTTGATATAGCAAGGAGATGAGCACGCTCGTGACAGACCGCAGTGACTGACCGGATGAGTACGGATGTATGATGCTGACAGACGATGGCCATGTTTCGTCAATTTTTGGTTCGGCTGGTATCTGCTATAGCTGCGCTAAATATTGAAACAAAACGAAAGGCTGTGCTCGATAAAAGAAGGTAGTAAAGGACAGTGGTATAGTAAATTGAGGTGGTGATTTATCTCATCACCGCTAGAACTGTCGACTGAGTAAAGGGGTTCCGTTCCAAGAATGACAGATAAAAAAATTAATAAAGAAAGCAATCTGCCTAGATTCATATGCAACAGTCTCGCAAAAGAAACCAAAATAAAATATATGACCTCTACGAACTGGTCTCGTGAATTACGCTCTCAGACGGACTACCTAAGGACCCAATCAAATCGGTTGGACCTATTTTGGCAAATTAAGATATTTCGTATGCCATTTATTATTACTAGTCTGTGTACATATGACAGAATCATTAAACATCAATTCATAGAAATTAACGTATGGTGTGCAACGATAACCAATTTGTGTCGCGGAATCAAAATGTGTGTGCAATGGGACACAGAAGTAGCAAAAATTTTTCTTAGATGAGAAATCTCAACGTTGACACCAACAAATTAGGCATCAACCCACTGAGCAAGCACCATTGGCTCACTCATCATATCGATCGTTGTTTCTTCTTTGGCAAAAATTACGATTCTCGATCCGCTGTGTACGTCAGATAAATTTAGCAAAAATTATACATTACTGAATAATGGTACCTACGAGGGTTAAGTGTGTACATAGCTAGTCTAGATAAAAATAAAGGTTTTACATTTCCGTGTCACATGTCTAAAGCGTGTAGCTGATCATCAAGTATAATTCTTTCAAACGTTCAGGTATTTTTCACCGGAATGTTTAGCATTGCTCGATGTATTATAGTTCTTAATAAACCTAATCTATCCTAACTTATCTATATGTACGTGCTTGAAGATCTATGAAGGCTTGCGTGATTGTCTTTTACACGTGTAAAGCTATATAATAACTAATTCGTTCCTTTATGTAAATAAAGTGTAATTATTATCATTACCATTTGCCTTTTCAAAGCTTTGCAGAAAATATTATATCGAATGCTTTATCTCAAAGATACGTTATCTAATATTCTCTGCAAAATTATCACGACCTTTGCAGAAAAAAATTTGGCAGGCAGATGAGTGTACCTACCTACCTAGGCTGTACGGTTGAATAGGTTAGCCTTCGGTGAAAAAAATATAATTTTCATTGAACCAGTCTTTTTACACCGTTGCATCGCGGTTGCCGAAACCGATGGTCTGGTATCCTGAATATTATGCTTAATACTTAAGGTTCGAGAGAACCATTTGAAATGATCACCGGCTGATTGCTGACGTAAGGAACCTCGAGGGGATCAATCCCTAGAAGAACAGGGAGTCCTAATCGGTAGGCTTAGCGCGTGCGCGTGCAGAAATCATCCGACGTATATACTGCTATCAGTGTAACGTAAACGATACTTTCAATAGACGATGATGGCGTGTTAAGACCTATATATAAGAGATATGTTATATTAAAAACTGAAATTTACATGGCTTTTCGTTGTTATAAAAACTGAATGAACTTGATCTTCGATGGTTTGCTTAACCTAGTTCAAATCAAATGTTTCAAATTTGTGTGACAAATAGTTTGTTTCAGTAGTAGCACGGTCAAAACTAAAACTAGCCGGTTTTTGAACAATCTTCTACAGAAACAGTCGGTCAAAATTTCAAATTTGTAGGTGTATGTCATATTTGGCTAATGATGTAAAGCATCTTCTTATGTTTCTTATATCAAAGGCAAAATCGGTCTTTCTTATATTGCAAAGATGTATCGGCCTAAAGAAGTGGAGAAGGTGTCGTCCACGCACCCAGTAGACATAGGCACCTTTAATGCGTCGAGCAAACCCACATTATATATATATATATATATGGTCTAATTTGGATGATGGTTTTCGCGGTTGAAGATAACCTTAACGCCTATTACATTGACGAATGGCGTTTAAATAGCAATAGAAATTTGTTCAAGGAAAAAGGAAATTTGGACAGAAACTCCATACACTTTGTCTAGTGGAGTTACCATACTTCGGAACTGAAATCTGTGATGCACTAGCCTTGTGTAGGATAATACGTAAGGGTCACACAAAAATTATCCATATGTTTTTTAGGGTACAAGTGTACGTGATAGGAACAAATAACAAACAACAATGGCAGTCAATTTATTTGAATTTTTCTCTCTTTACTTCCGCTCAATTATTTTTATACTACCATATATGCCATCTCACGGTGCTGTTGATTAAATTTAGCCTAAGAACAGCCAAAACATGATGCATTGCCTATAGATCGGGCTTGAATTTTTTCGGTTAACAAAAACAAAACATCGGCTACTGTCGCGCCATATTGATTAGTGCATTGTTTTTAATCAAAGCTTCGATCATTTATGAGAAGTTGAAGCTTTTTGAAACTTTTCAGTTCAGTGATCCTTATTCTAGTGCGCACAAACATACACACAAGCCTAGAGATGCACGTACATACACACGTATTTTTCAATGTCATTTTAGCGCACTTATTTTCTAGTGAATAGGTAGTTCGAAACCCACTAGCAACAGCAGTATCGAGAAGCGTAACCAAAATGAGAACCACGAAGGCGCACATCTTCACAGAGCTTAGAACTGGCCTTTGTCTAATCGTGACTGGCCGAGTCTAGTCTTCTCATATGTATATATTCTTGTACAGGGAATGCGCTTAGGTGAGTATGCCACGTTTCCTTCAGAAGCGAGAATGAACGTTACCACATTTTTAAAAGTAGCGCCACCTTCAAATTGAGAAGGATCTGATTTTTTTGTGTTTTGAAACATAGCTAATAGCCAGCGTCGTGAACAAACGCTCAGACTGCAGCCATTAAAAGTATAGCAATCAAATGTATCAATAGCTCATATAATAACTGATGTCTACGAGAACAGAAGCGAGGGAAGCCTTGCGCCACCCTTCATAAAGGTCGTGGTATGGTACACGCTTGTCACATACGTCGTGCGTCAGTTGAGTCGAAGCTAAACCTCTCTTTATTTACATTAACAACTCAGCACATACCGGCTTACGACCCCTTCCGTGACTGGGCTAAATTTATTTGCATTGATCAGTTGGCCGTACACGTTTGGGTAGGATAGAAGATCCATCTAGCCGCACACATCTATAATAAGATTTGCGTAGGTCTAATGCAATAGGCTAAATCCTGTTTACTGACCCATATATATCTGTAGACTTAAACCTCAAAATATACAAAGGACAACCATGTGCAAAGGCTAAATAAATTAACTTACTTAAGAAACATCAAGACGACAGTTAGCTATAGCGACGACACTATTAAGTGGCATTTGCGAACCGTTTTATAGTACTGACCGAAAAATGCAATAATTTTATTAAAGGATACATAACGTTTTTATTTAACGGGACCTGGTCGAAACAGCTAATGCTAGTTTTCTTTTCTAATGTGCAGTTCTTGCTAAACTTTTCTTAGAAAGCGGCGTGATCCGGGTGGCTGATATACATCGCTCTCAATGCATTACCATGGTAACCATGACGACACGGTTATTGCTGGTTCGAAGTTTAACGTTGGCAAATCTATTCGTTAGATTTGTCGAAGAAACTGCAGCTAGGTCCAGCAAGACCCTGCCCAACTACACGTTCTGCCGTGTGGCCGATTCCCTTAAGTAATACTGAAAACGAGGACATGGTACGAATAGCCAAAAGCGTTAAAAAAGACGATAGTGTTTCAAGGTCGGGTTAATTAACAGACTAAGTCTGCTGTATAATTTTACTATTTTTATATTGATTCAACATAATGAGCAGTTCTTCGTCGATAGGTGTACGCTTTTGTTGCGGTCGGAAAGTCTCGGTTAAGAACAGGTAATAATACAAAGATTGCTTGCATATAGGAACATTCACATTGTGTTATACCCAGGAAAATGTAAAATTAATTACCATACAAACTAGCCTAGTTTACGTAATGTATAATTATGAAAAAAAAAGGCTATCTTTAAAAGCAATCGCACATCTTATCATGATAAATTGTAAGCAATTGGGTTGAACTTTTAAAAAATGGCACTGTTGAATTTAACTTACATCATCATAGTAGTCCAGGAGAGTCGTTTGTTTAAATAGCCGGAGTTCGTCTGACCATCTCTAGATAACTATACTATTCACAAGAGTAGGTCTGGATAATATACGTTCCTCAATGAAATTAACACTAAGACTGAACAAATCGTTCCTCATCCGTAGCAAATCATTAGTATATAATGCAATTAATTGAGATTGGTTAAGTTATTGTAAGTGAGGTAGTTGGTTATGAGGGACAGTTATATAATATTTAGAAGAGGCAAAATTTTCATTTACAATTAATTAGAGTTAAACGACATAAATGCCTGGGCATGTAGCTGCCATTGGCATGAATTTTGAAATAGTATGCGTTAGCGCTGAACAGTACAAAACCCTATCGTGCGTATCAGCAAGGTAGCATTTGCGCTACCTCTTAAAGCTTTCCGAAAATAGACAAGTAGCTCTTGCAAACAGAAAGTGGTTCGGGGCTGATTTAATAAAGACTGTCCGATGAGTCCGAATGACTTTAACACTATATACTTTCTGTCATCGACGGCGGTTGACGGAACAACATGGAAAACAACCCCTGGCAACAGTCCGTCTTTCGGGTGGATATTCCCAAAAGGACCTGATTGACTTAGGACTGATGTGACTTCAAGGGAGTGCCGTCCAAACGGAGAAATGTGGTTAAAGTAGACGCAAAGGCGCAAAAAACAACACACAGTGCTGGTCTTTTTGTTTCTAATGACATGTCTTAGATATAGAGCCCCGCTTCGTAGGGGGTGACACGAATCTTAAAAGGGTTCGCGCCACCCACGAACACAATTCGGACGCCTGCATCAATGGCGGGACGTCTGCTAGCCCCAGACCGGTACTATATAAGGCCTGGCGCGAATCACAACGCCACCCGAGTTGCTTCGCAGCCTCAGAGCCTACAGCTTCATCTCCTTCTTTTTCACGATGCGTATACGCGTTGCCTTTCTCGCTTTATGCGTGCTTCTCGCCGCTGCAGCTTACATGCCGCTAGCTTCTGCACAGAGGGTAAGTTGGAAACAGGTGTTAAAGGAGTAAATTAAATCACCGAAAACATATGGTGTAGCTACTTGGTTTCACTTTCTTCATATGTTAAAAAATGGCTTCTTCATGTTTCGAAAGCTCTACGTCTCATGCTCGATTTGCTTCCAGTGTTTCTTCTGCAAATCGACGCGTGGACCGATGGCATTTTCCCTGACTGACTGATCGCTCTTCTGTTTTACATCTAGGCAACGGAGGTAGCCCGATTGTTCTTGGTACCGAATGGAAACCTCCCCGCCGGCGCAGGGCTGCTCCGCAGTGATTATTCGTCCGTCGGATCGGTGGTCCACGGTGGCAAAAGAGGGGGCCTCGACTCCCTCAGCGGAATGGCCTTCGGGCGTCGGAGGTAAAAAGCTTGCTTGATTTGCACCGCAACCATCTAATCTGCTTGCGTCGCCATTGCAATCCCGGTACAGCGTCTGAACAGAGCGCGTAAAGCAGCGCATCTTTTTGCACTACTCTCACCTTTAGGAACCGCCATGATTTATTTCTAGTAACGATGTCCACCGAAAGAAATGCCACTGTAGATGCTGCTTAAGCTGAACCGCGAAAGAAATAACATCTTTCATCTCGCCGGTTCCTATTAGCCTTCAGCAGATTACGCGGTATCTGATTTAAGCATCAATTTCTACCACTGTTTTTACAAACTTATACAAATATTTCGCAGTAGAACGAGTACCGAATACGAACTGGCAGACAGCGGTAAATAAAGATGCCCACTGCTTATATAACAGTTACTCCCATTGGTAATGATGACATTAGGCCGTCCGTAGATTTGGACGGAGCGGCTCTATCGCCTCGAAAATTAATAAGTTCAACGTCGAGATAGACGTTGGCGGCTTTTTTTTCGTTAGCTCCCACTGGTTTATGTCGAATGTGGCTTGTGTATTATGAAAATCTAAGCTACGGATAGACTTGCTAGAAAGAAAAGGTACAACGCTTCGGATAGCCAGCGCTGAGGTTGTGGCAAGCTCTGCAGGATTAGAACAGGTAGGCGACCCGGCTAACCTCGTTGGCAATTCAAACGAACCCCCGAGCTAACTGTGTGTGGTAATATGTAGAGCTAAAATGCATCGTTGAGAACGCCGATACTATCTACGACAAACGACGTGCTAATCAAACTCCTAGTAAGAACTATCAAAACGCAATGAAGCTCATCAGGACGTAAAAAAACGTGTGATTGCTAGATTTTTTTGATGAGCAGGCGAACTTGCCGTGCGCAATGTATTTACTGTCTTACTAAACTCGAACGACTTGCAACCCAGTTTCTGCCCGGACCGCGGAAGAGGATCACAATATCGATTCGTTAAAACTCAAGGAAAATTAAAAAAGGATATATACTTCAAATAGCAACAACAGATGAAGGGTGAAGTATTCAGCGCCGACGAACACCTACACGATTACGCGTAGACAGAATCGTTACTGTGTAACATTAAGAGACAAACTAAATAAACTTTATGCATTGGAAAACAGCAACGTGCTACCATTTTCTTAGACAGATAAATCTCCGAGGCTGTCGATCATTTGAGTGGCTATCTGTTACATTCATTCCGGTATCTTCTGCCGTACGTTGAACGTTCCCGTGCGTTGTTACGGTAGGTTAAAAACTCTTGGTTAAAAAAAGGTTAAAAACTTGAATCAGTTGTACTTGTAGCCGCCATTAGAATTTTAGGTACACTTTGGTTTTCTAGTCGGGACTGAATCCGCTAGATTTTTCAATGGCGATAATGTGAGTATGGGCTGTGCAATGATATTTTTAACAGTAGTGCTTTAATCATGCGATAGATCTTTTCCATCCTACACGTTCAAAAGGGAATACTTATGGGCTGAGTGTGATGATTATGATATTCAAGTGTGACCCCCTTTAACGCTCTTCCACGTCGTCTTAAGCAGTGATTGAGGTAGGTTACCATAATGTCCGAGCATAGGGTGTTATGTAAGAATTAAAATACATACTGGATGGTCTATACAGTATGGTGAGGTTATTCTAGAAGTCTAAACGGCAGTCTGTAATTTCAGCTAGCTGGTGTACGATTAGGGCAACGGCGACGCAAAAAAGAAATCCCACGTAAAAAAAACTGCACGAAATTATGCCAAAACACGTCCAAACAACGAAGCTGTATTTACTGGTGGCCGGCTTCAATATTAGGAGTAATCTTAGCTATCAAGACTAAAGCATTAGTTATATCTTGCGGGACTTGAAGGCAAGAAACTTGTAAAGGAGGTAAACGACGTGTTCTAGGTCGAGGGTGGCTAAAACAAATATTATTTAGAGCATGATTCTTGTATTGGACTAAGTTTCACTTGTCTTGGCTGAATCATTATGTGAGACAAGTTAGCGTGCCGTGCGTTCTGTAGTATATAGATGTAATGCTTTTGAAAATATCAACCGTTAGTTCGCAGATGGCCTACTGCATTCCAGGTCAACAACGAGCTCGTCATAAATGTTCGTGCGTATTATAAAATGCGTTTGAAATCACAAACTGTCTATCTTCAGCAGAATGAAAAGATGACGAGAAAAGTTCTGTTAGTTCGTATTGAGGGCACTACTATTGCATTTTACTTCACAGCTGAAAATGCGCTTTGTAAGAATCGAAGGTAGTCTAGTCGCAGCGCTATACATCTACGAGCCTTGTGCAACAAGCCTGCTTTGTCTTATAAAGTGTATTAATAAATATCGTAAAACTTAGTCGAGACATATGTTTTTATTTCAGTTTCATTTATTTCGAGGAAATGATTAATGTCAAACACAGCATGCGATGGTGATAACGAGTATGTCTGGAATATGTGGCGGAGGCGATGACCAGTTGCATTCAGTTTTCTTGGAAATTTGCGAAGACCTTGATCTTATACTCCGCTGGTTGGGGCCGCTAGTTCCCATTGGCTCGCATCCCATGACGACAACTGTGTTTTGTGCGCCAATTGCTAATTCTCTGCCCGTCACACCGGCGGGAAACACGAATTACCTCATCAGCGGTCCCCAGCGGTGGATTATTTTGCCGATTTCCAGCAACGCAGCGATACGAGGGAACTCTACAGAGGCAGAGGTCCGCGCTGTCCAATCGATACCGCAAGTCGAGGCAGGCTTGCCAACTACAACATCAACTCCACCAACGGCAGCAAGATCGGAAGTTGTAGCTGGGAATAATGAGAGTGTGTTCATATTCGAAGACGTGCGCACCATGTCGCGGCATCGAGAAGCCACCCGCAGCGTCAGTGACAATCCAAGTGAGGGAACTGCAATTTCCAAACCCAACAAGCAACATACGCTTAATATGACTAGAAGCGCATTGCCTACTTCTGACTCGGCTGTGTCACCGGCTCTTGAGATAGTTAAATGTCGGTCTCCTTCAACACTTGCATTGTCGCAATCTTTGCCGCAATCGCTAGTGCCTCCACCGCCACCGCCTCCGCCTCCGCCTCCGCCACCCCCACCGCCGCCCCCACCGCCCCTACCACCGCCTTCTCCACTTCATAGCAAGCTAAAAGGAATTCAGTGTTCGGCTATAAAAAAAAGGACAATTAAATGGGAGAAGTTGCCTCTGAGTTTCGTAGCAAAAGGTACAAAATCGCATAAAAATAAAAAAATACATTGTAGAGCCAAGTTCTTTATGCGATTAACTATTTGAATAGTATTGTTTTTGTGATTAACTGTGAACAGTCATGACGAGTGCGGTAAATGTATAATAATTGTTTTAAAAGAAAGTTGCTAGTTGACTAGACTTAAGGCCCACGGATCTAATGTAATTTCTAGGAAAATCAAATGTGTGGACTGCCGCATGTGACAAAATAACGTTAGAAGATGATTTAAAGAAAAAGGTCGCCGATCAGTTTCGTCTGCCAGTTCTAAAGGAGCTACAGAACGAAAAATCAAAAGCCGTAAGTGCTGTACAATCTTACTTCTTGTACATGGTATGGATTGCTATCCTCCGTGAAGATCCTGAACTGTTTTAATCATAAACAACCAAGTGCAATTCTATATGTTTGCATCAACTAATAAGTACCATTTGTTTCAATGCTCCAGGAAGTCCTATAGATTTTGTGAGTTCTTTATTTTACTAGAGGGGCTGTGTGTTATAAACTCTATACGAGCCGTTTGCGCTATTCGGAACTTCAATTGCCAAAATGGTTGCCGCAACTTCCTTCCTAATCTAACTAGTACCTTAGGATGTGGCTCTTTTGCTTTATAGCACGTACATTTCTACATACGAAAAGTTCACACTGTTGGAACTTTTAATGTATAGTGCATGCATTTATATAGTGCTATTTTATTTCAGGAATCTCCTCTCAATATTCGGCGATCGTTGGCTATTGACGTTGCACTTCGGCGCTTGGGTATCACTCCAGAAGATGTTGTAGCCTGCTTAGCAGAGTTCAAGCTTGGATCACTTCGAGATGATGGCTTAGACATTCTCGATAAGGTTTTACCGAGTACCCAGGAGGTACGCTTTGTTAACAAGAGACCTTCTAATGGTGGCAACATTTTGCTAAGTTTCAGATTCATAAAATTAGACAGCTTCCATATAATACAATTTGATAATTAAAAAGATTATAAATTTATGCACTCGATGCGAATTTACTTCGTTGGTTATATTAGAGAGTGTTTTTTATTGCTCGACCCCGATTACTCGACTCTGGAAAATGTGCACATTTTCCATCCAATAAAGGGTACTTTTAACTTTGCAAGATTCGTTTTCTGCACTTATTAGTTACACAAATGTACGCGCCTATACTATAAGCAGATAGATACCTAACGAGAGGAGAAAAAAAAACACAACAAACTATGATAAAAGTTAGCTGTCTGAACGTGCGCATGTTTCACCCAACGAAAACGTCTGTTCGAACTGTGACTTCTCGATTACAAACGTTGGCCTGATGACATGATAAGAATTGTTGGCGTTACACCGTTGTTTTCTGACAGGTTGAGCACGTGACTGCGTGGGCACGCTTAAATAGAGACCAATGCTTATCCCCACCAGAACGACTGTGTCAGCTTCTTAGCTCTATTTCGAATCCGTCCGTACGTCTCGCCGTATTGCGACTTGCTCAGGAATGGCCGAGTCGACTAGAGGGTTTGGAGAAACCCCTCGTTGAATTCACAGCTGCGTGCAAAAACATTCTCAACAGCAAGAAGCTAACGAGTATTTTACATATCCTATTGATCTTCGGAAATCACATCAACGCTGTAAGTGACCTTGATCAAAATTGGTTCGTCATCACCCGTCCTTCAACAAACTTAAGATATAATACTGCACAAGCACCTTGTTAGCCTTAGTACCATTTGCCTATCTTAATGAAATGCTTTAGAAAAACAGATTTTTTTGAGGAAGTAGAATTCAAGTTAAATGCAAACGCTTCGATTCCCATGCTTGCTGTTCACTGTGAAAAGATCTGCGAACGTTTGCATGCAAACTCAACCGGCCTCCGAGTGTACTAGTTTTTTCTAATCTTTTACAGAGATAGCAATCTTACTTTCAATTAGACAAAAAAAATCGATTTTATTAAATTGATGGGCGAGGGTAACAACGGTTTGTACAGAAGCACTATGGTAAGGATCATGACCGTACCTGTAACTAAAGCTGTATCTTTATTAAAATGACATTAGGGTTCCATCGAGGGGGAAGCTGTCGGCTTTCGTTTGGGTAACATCACTCGTGCGTTGTCGACACGGACGACAGACGGAAGAAGGTCATTTCTTGAACTCGTTGTTAAGGAAATCGAAGAGCGACGCCCATACATTCTTCGTTTGGACGATGAGCTTCAAGGAGTGGAAGCCGCTGCTAGGATTGATGTTATCGCCATCGTAGACAATTTCAATAAGCTTAAATCAGACCTTTTGGAAACTGTAGACGTTCTAGAGCAAAAAGATCTCTCCCAGTTGAAGAATTATATGATGAAATTCATTCAGGTATGTGGTGTAAGCTGAAAAATACCATTTATAGGTGCCAGATGTGGCTGGGAGGTGACTATTTAGGAACTACGGCAGCCGGAAAGATGGATGTCTTTGAAAGTAGGCAATTCATGTACCTACTACCTAACTAAAGCTAATTGTCAACTATTAATGCTATATATTATGCCAAAATAACGGCACTTACACACTTTCTTCGTGTATTTGAAGACTGCGCAAGAAGATGTGATACGTGTTGAGGCTCACGCGCACTCTATGAATGAAGTTCTGCAGAAATTGTCAGTTTGGCTCTGTGAAGATTCCAACAATATCAGCGCTGTTGAATGCGTGCGCCAAATCGCTGATCTCTGCACGAACATAAAAAGGTCTCACAAGGTAATGTTTTTCTAAATGGATAAAACCACAACCACTAGGGAAAATTGCACTTTTCTAGGTATACCTGTATGTTGAAGCGAGACGTAGGGTGATGCGAAGCTGGTTTAATCCTGAATGCCTCGGTGCACGTTCTTCTTGAAAGGGAATTCAGTTATTGCTATGTTAACGTCGCTCGTGTTCTGGAGTGCTATCACGCCGTCATATACGCCTGTTGAAGAGAATACGGTGTTCTAACGACTGTTGCTGTTGTTGGGAAGAACGCCTCTGAATCAATTACGGTCAATTAGATCGTGCTCTCGGGGCAAAGGCTGAGAAAGCAATGTTTTGAGGGTGTGGACTTAGGAAGAATTGACCGGCACGCATTGTGTGTCGGTCAAGTAAACCCCATTCGTACTCAATAATTAAAAATGTTTGCGCAAAACTACTATTAATAGTATAGAGCACATCATTATTTGTCCTATGAAAGAATAATTAACACTGTTATATGTACACTGCTTTCTACCCTGAGGCATTCTGTAGGTCAACTGTTTCTCCATATATTATCATGTATTTAGACTTAAAAACAACGTCTTTCTCTTCGTCGAGTCATACCCCTACCGCGGCCTAAAATTTTGTATGATTAACTAAAGTTTACCGTTTTTATTGTTTTATTAAATAGTGTATCTTAGTTTTTTAGACATAAAAAACTAAGATATGTATGTCCTTTGAGCTTTCCTTTAATTTTAAACTTTGATTTCAAAATGAGTGGCTACGTTGAAAACAACTTTTACAAAATAATGTATTATATACAACTTTTTCTTAAGGAAAGTTTAGATAGGGAAGGTTCATTCAAATATGTTAGAGATTAGAACGTAAAATAAAACAATAGAAATTGTCATTTTTATATATAAACTACCAGCGACCTTTTATAGGTTTATAATTATATAGGATCTAATTAATTGAGTATATTTTAATTTTTTTAGGATATGAAGACAGCAGGCACGGGAAAAGAAGTATCATCTTGAAAATATTTATGTAAATTGGAATGAAGCCCGCTTGTGTGATTGTTTTTGGTATATTCTGAACGTCATCAGCTTACAAGCTTACATTCCGTTCGATCACTTCAACAAGTAAGTGATCAAGCGAAATAAACAATAACAAATAACTAACTTCTAATCTTAACATACTTTAAAGTTTAATAACGTACCTATTGGTAAGTATACACATTCATTTCAACAAAAGTATAGCACTGTTCCCAGCTAATGCTTAGATTTTTACTTATAAGGATGTTTGCTCTAATTTACAACAAAACAGGTTGTATATTATAATATAAACAACCTGTCAGCGCCACTGGCGTGATGTCAATAATATTTATCTTCGGAATTAATTCAGCGGGGGCTATTTGTAGAACTGTTATAGCAAGAGAAGACAGTGTTTGTAATTGATATTCACTGAACTTGAATTCCGTGTGAAGAATCAAATGGATTCACAGTTATCTTCGAAAGGGGCAGAGAATTCGAAGCAATTATAAAAAATGGTATGAAATGGGAGTCGTGCGCAAAATTTGCATACAGTCTATCAGTGTCACCCCAAAAAAGTTAACACAAATTTGAAAAACGATTTTCCATATTCGATTGTTAAAGCTTTAATCTTCCCTGGAAAGCGCCATATGCAAAAATTAACATCGAACGTATGTATCAGTACCGTAGCCGTTTGAAGATAGCCATTGATAAAACCAAAAATTTAGGGTGGGGATCACTAGTGGTTACCCAGGCGGGCTCCTCACTCTTGGGCATCAATACCTTAGATATAGTATAAATACTATACACCTAACAGGTATTGGCTATTTTCATATTAGATGAAGTGGTATGTAAATCTTCAATTATGGCGCATATATGCGTAGTATTTGTCGTCTGACCGTGTAGAGAGAGGTCTCTCAAAAATGGATTAGAACAATAGGTAATATTAATCAATTGACGTATCTCTATAAGAAAAAAAAAACTCTAATCGATGGACGAATGGATTCATCAGATTAATCAATGAAGCTCAATACAAACTTTCTACGGTGTGCTTTTCAACAAAAAAAAATTGTACTCAGTTCTTCTACTGTATAATATGTAGAGCTTTTGGTTAAGCAATTTTCTTATTTCTAAAGCGAAGATCGGTGCAATGCATAAATAAGAAGCTTTTTTGTGGATATAATCCAATCGAACGCCACCACGTACGTCTACATCGAAGGTCCACTAAAGGCGCAATTATCAAAACTTTAAGCTTAGCTAAAACTAGCCAAACGCTTAAGCTATAACCGACCACTACGAAATGGTATAAAGCCTTGTAAGCGTGAGGGGTACGCCCAATTTTCAATGAAGATCCTTGGCCAGCTGCTACCCAAACGCTCGCCTTGTCTCGCGATATATTTTCCAGTTTCTACATTACGAAGTACAATATCTGAATATATTCACATGGAAAAGCAATAGTAATGTTCCGTAGTAGCAGATGTAAGAATGTACATTTCATTAGTTGCTTAAGTAAAATTGCTAACACGCAAAAACGGTTTCACACATGTTGGTATTGTACACAAATTATACATAGCTCTTGTAGTGTTTCCTATTGCAGGCGAAAATGCATGCATATAGTCCGTGATATTACTCATTTGCTATACATTCTCACTGTATGTATCTTCAGCTCTTACGTAGCTCCTTCCGCAATAATTAGAAATGTTCCTTTGAAAGGTGAAAGATTTTGGATAATCCCACCACACATATAGTACTTACAGTTGACCGACTCTATGCAACATATAGTAATTGTTCCCAGCTATCATTTAACACGGCCTCAAATACCCTATGGATACCACACCAGGACTCTATAACGATCAAGGGGTTCCATGTATGCGGACCTTTTCTTCTTACTAACATATCATTACAGCTCACGCAAGTCTCCGACGGAATATATTGTTTTCCATGAATGTAAAAGCACTATATAGAAAACAATAGTGTTTTCTTTGAATCTGAGATGTCGCTCTGAAACGCGTATCTGAATTCGTACTCATACGGCACCTTTTTGTTTCTGTTCATCACAGAGAGCTACGCATAGTGAATACGTGATCCAGGGTAAAGCGAATTCGTAACTAAGACAGCGAAGGGATGGAGCAATGGGAATAGGCTATTCCGGTTGAGTTCCGCGACTCATTCGCAGTAGTTTAATAGGTAAGTAAATATTGGAAAGTGGCAAAATTGTGATATTCTAATTATGTTTTTCCCTGAGAGATCCGGACTAATGCCGATTGTTATACATCGATAACTTTTTTTCACCCAATCCAGCTTCATTCAAATTATCACAATCGGAATAATGATAACAGTAGTAAATCACGGGTTTGTGCCGTCACTATAATAGTCTCGGTTGATTTACTACTTATCAGTTTGCATCTGGCTGATTTTTAACTCGAGCTAATGCTAAAAATGCTGTGTCAGATGGGGAATCAAATATTCCTAGGGGACCTCTTTCGCAATCGCAGCATGTCAAATAGCGCACCCCATTTTTAGCGGGTTTTGTCATTCCGATATTTTCAAACGTTAGGAGAGACGTCACCTGAAAAAAATGATCACCCGAATTTTCGCATTTATTCCTTTTTGTTTGATTTTTGTATCTGTTGAAGGCGATATCGTTCTGGTAAAATATTCTTGAATTATCGTTATAGTTTAGTAGGTCTCTAAAACAGCGAGTACCGTAGATTCAATTAACAGTTTAGTTTATTGATTATTACCTTACAGAAGGAGATGTAAGGTGATAATCAGTAAACGCTAAACCAAGAAATGGATGTACTTTGTTTCTTTGGGGCTGGGCATGCCGAGTTAGTGCCAGTGAAGTGAAGTGTTACTTTTGATCATCGTATAAAATTACGCTAATTAGCTAACCCTCAATGTTTCCTTAAAATATCTTTACTTTTTTCATTTCAATTCAGATTCATGAAAAAAAGGACTACCTTCCAAAATTCGTCGAGCGTCTCAAGCGCTTCCTCAACAGAATCAGGTCTCGGTAGCTGCATTTCCTTCTTCAGATAATCCCCCGTCTGTTCGCAGAGGATGCGCGAATTACAGTGTGAACACTGAACCTGAAATCTACTCATACAAGAAAAAAAAATATAAAATAAAAGAGTTAGAACAACTGTTGGCCTACCCCGTGCAAAGATAATCAAAGCAACGTATGTTTAACAAAAAGAGTTTCGTGTTATATCCACCTGTTGAGCATATAAGAAAATACGGATTTCATTAAGCTTCGAGTATAATTATTTTGAAAATGATTAGAAAAGACAATCAAGTATTTCGTGTTTACGGAATGAAAGCCTGTCAGGCAAACGGTCTGTAAGACCTTTAGCAAAATAATGATCACAAACACCTGCCGCCAGTCACCTACTCGGGGTCTTTGCAGATGTTAAATCACTAAGCAGTCTCGAAAATCATAGTAATAAATATTCATTATAAAGAACAAAACGTGCGTGTTTTTCGGATCGCAGTAGAATGACCTATTTAATAACGAAGTAAATGAACGATACGTTAATGGTGCTTGTGTTATTAAACTTCTTCCATGAAGAAACAGCTTAACAGTCTAATACTTCCTAGTAGCCACGACTTTTTGTCATCCAAATTTGATTACGGCCATTTATCTTCATAGTCATGCACATGTTACTGCTGCTATTTGCTATACGTTATTATAACGTAACCAGCTGAAGACGAGGCCATGGCAGCGAGCAAGATCGAAGGATGCAGAAAAGCCATAGATTTTTGAGGGAAAAGTGCAATTCGATCTTAGTCTGCAAATAACAATGCATCCCCTTTAACAGGAAAAAAAATTGTCCTGTTTAAACGAATACGACAAACAATGTGAAAATAGACTATGTGTAACATCCTTCGGGCCTAAACTAAACTCGTATAATTAACATTCAATAAATACTAAACACATGTAAACCGATATAGTTTGGAGCAATACTCGGCCCTTCTGGTGCAAAATTAATATGCAGTTGAATATAATGTCATCTAAAGGCCAGTTCATGCTTCGCGGAGGGGGTAGCGGATCGAATCAAGTACAAGTCACTCCCCTATAACATATGTACACAGGCCAGGCTGGAAAAATGAGGGCAGCAATGAATTGAATATGGCATGCAGACTCCCAGTCACTGGTGTTGATGAAATACCATCGAGTGTTAAGACTCAATTTGGTACAACCCAGATTTGTTGGATTTTATTAACTTATATCACCAATCCAGCTACACATATAATAATAACTGTGTAGACTACTTGCAAGCATGGGGTCTATTTTTATTGAACGCGTTACAATATCAACCGCTGTCAATTTTCTAATGAAATGTTTCATCTGTCGTCACTGTGTGTGTAGGTCATATCCTTTAACTTGGTAGTAAACAAAATATCGGTGATGTATATTTACGAAATTATCTAATTCCCAACGTATTCTAGAATTCCGTTAATACCGATTCATTGTTTCCTATGTTCATGATCTACCTTTTTGATTAGCTAGTCTAAATAATCACACAATACTTATATGCATACACATATAGGCAAAAAACATAGGGCTAACATAGCAGTAACCCAGTTTTGTCAACACTCAACAACTACTCAATAGCAACTATAGCTACGATTATTGTGACTCATACGACTTTTTTTTTTAGTTTGGTACCATTTAATGGCGAGAATCGTCATATATTTAAGTTGTCAGCTAAGGATCAAGTGTTCACCATTAGAGCGGTATGCAAAGTTTTCTACTTAATTAATCATGGAAATATAGTAAGTTAGCGCACGGTTCAACCTACTTGTTCTTGCCATTCTCCACGAATTCGGTCGACATGATAATATCGAGTAGAAGATACAGGTTTCACAATTTTAATCAACAGGTAACTAACACCTCAGTCCGACACCAGTCTACTTTCTAGCCGGTCAGTTCCGTGTTTCTAATAACTTTCTCTTGGGTATTCCCTATTCGAGGCGAAGAATAAGCAACTCAAAACAACAGTTGAGGCAAGCAGGTACCTTTGATGACGGTACTATTTCCATTAACTGCAATATACAATTATTTCTTTTTGCGTTTCTAAAACTAGTGAAATTTGTTTGCCTGCAGCCCGCCTGCCTGCCTGCCTGCCTGCCAGCCAGCCAGCCAGCCAGCCAGCCAGCAAGCCAGCCGGCCAGTTAGTCTTCTTTCTCTCACTCTGCCTGGCTGGACTGTGTGAGGGTGCCCACTTGGGTCGACCGCTCTCCCGTCAGTTGCTGCGCGGCGCCATCTTGAATGGGGCGTCTGCTAAATCCGATATTTTGGCCTCCTCACTTCTCTACTTTTTTTGTGCGAATGTGAAAATTTTAAGCACAATCTTTCGTATCTGTGTGTCGCTCAGTTCTGGTTCGAGGTGGCGCTGTAGGAAAAACTGCTACTAATTTGTGTTAACTTCCCGTACATATCGTGTTGCTGTTACGCGGGCGTTCGTGTGGACCCTCTCGGGAGAGCTGGGTGCTCCGCTTTGGGCTGGGTCGTGAGTGACATGGCCGGACGGGCCGTGCTACCGAACGAACCGCCGCAAGACACACCGCAAAGTAAGTACAGTTTTTTTCCGAAAACAGCCTTTATTTCAGCTGTAAGCTAGTTCGATCTCGCTGTGATGAATTGCTTCGTCTAAACTGTGCATACGTCAGGTTGTGACTTAAGGGCAGCACCTCGCATACTAGAACCGGGAATTGACTGCGGCCAAGTGTAAGGGCCTCCCCGTGCACTGTCATCTGGCTGGCCATCGGACCAACAGCAGAAGGTTGAGACAACTAGCAACTGGTCTTGTCTTACTGCTAGCCATAGCAGAGAATGGACCATCGTGCTTACTACAGTGTATAAGTGTGTGCGTCAGTGACTGAATCTGTGCTACGTTAGACACATATCGCCATTTCAGCTTTTACGAAGCCACTAAATCGGCTTAATAGAACAAATTGACGGGATTATAACAGCTATCCAACGACATACGTGCGTACGTTTCAGCGTGTAGCCAGCTACGGAAGGCTGTTCCTCCTGTAGTACCACATTAGACAAAGAGAAATCTGATACACTGACGAAGTCTTAGCCGGAGTGGTCGAAAACTCTTGCCCTGTGCACCTTGGTGGGCCGTGTTCAAGCTTAACTAAATGATTTCTTTGTAATTTTCATAAAAGTCGTGCCTAGTACGCGATTGCTAACGGATAGGGGCTCTGAACTTGCCCCATTTGCTATTTTCCTCTGGCGGAGGTAACATTTTTTGGAAGCTTGCGCCCCAATATGTGTATCTGTGTGCCTGCTCGTTGATGGGAGTGCTAGCGTGTACGTGTAAGGGTGCATTCATATGCAGAAGACTGTCTGTCTGAGCTTGATTTTACTGGATAACCATAGGCTGATTTACTGATGGGTACCAGCAAGGACTTTGTCGAAAAGCCTCCGCCCATCCTCTACACATACATGCATGAGATGGAAAAGTTGAATTTGGAAATAAAAAATAAAACAAATTGAAGACAACTGACTAAAGAATTATAACGATTGGTTTTATTAATCGTTTAGCCATGTGTGCAGCCACACGGAAAGTTCGGAGTTCCCTGAGTCCATTCACGTGTCTGATGGCCGAAAAACTAGCTAAAATAGCTCTGAGGCAAACACATAGAATGGTTGGCCGATGGAAATTTCCACTATAGACAAGCAACAAGCCTATGGATCTGTCCAATTTAGTCTATTTAGTTACAGCGGGGCTTTGCTCGTCCTGTGCAATCTGATCACGTGTTGTATTTAAATACTGTCAAAAATCTTTCAACATGCATTCATGTACAAGGCAGACAACAAGAGAAGGGGGCCCTTGCAAAGACCGATATCGAGAGCCGACCAACAGGGAGTCTTTGAAATGTCACAGTTTTAACTACTGAGAACGAAGTACTCGCTCAAAAACGTACTGTGTGACTGAGACCGATTACGCCACCCGAGACCGTGTGATAATCTTCTAGCTTTGGGTTTATGCTTGACCCAGATACCTTAGAATGGTCTTGTCCTTCCGCAATAAATAATTTGAGGAAATAAAAGAGTAAACCGCTCGTTATCGTCCGCCTGGCATCTAGATTATTCGGAATGTGTTCCTTGCGCTGGCCGTGCTCTTAGACTCGTAGGGTTTAACATCTTATTCTGCTGGGTGTAAAAGGTTAGCAAGCCTTTTTGTGTGTCCTCGTTGTATGTCGCTCCAGTGCCCTTCATGGAACTCTTCTTGTGGTGTCCTGGCCTCATGTCGTCCAACATAGATCTGATTTCGTTGAACGTCTCAGACGAGCCCATTTACTGGCCCGTTCGTCCCTTGATCTGACCCACTCCGCCCGCACCGTCACCGTTGGCCCTATCTCGTTTCGTTGGTCCACCCTATCAGACAACGTGAGCCAGCAATGGGTCTGTCTAACGCTCCCGCTGCGTGGTTTGCTTTTGACCGAGAACCAAGCGGGCCGCAGTTCCCGAAAACGTTCGTCGCTTGTTGTCGAATTATTTCGTTGGCGTGTGAACAACCCAGCTGATCTACGGCTGGCGGCATTTTTAAGAGAGCGGAGTGCTTAGCTCTTAAAAGCGAGAATCACGACGAATAATAAATAATGAGCGAAAGAACAAGCAATAAACCGTTACTTTCAATAATGCATTCGTCTATCATAGTTTGTACAGCGCTTCTGCGCCCAACAAAGGCGATGTCGAGCTTGTTTATCATAAGAACTTCCGGCGCCATGATGTTAGTGTTATGTGTGTACGAGTAGATTTATATGCGTGTGTATACTATAAGTGAGAAAACCTGAGTTCTCTTAATAGATCATGATGATACTTCGGCGACACTTGCGCTGAGCCTGATACAATAACATGGCTGACGACGCTGGTATAGAGACAAACAACACCTAAAACGTATAGCACGAACTAGCATCCGATTCGTAGCAGGGGTATCACTCGACAACCCCACGTCGCCGTGATGTTGCTGCAGGGCAGACGGCTATGACAACGGTGCTAAAGCGTGTGGTGTTGTTCCCTTTCGTAGTAAATGCAGTTGTGCTCGCTGATGCCGACCGACCGTTACAATAGCCGTTGCGGCCACCGCCACCTTTTCAAAATGCTATTTAGTAAGCAGCTTGTTGCTGGGGCTGCCGAGAGAAATGGACCGACGCTCGACGGTTGTTGTACAGCTCGGGGGGCGGGCGGCTCTCTCTGCGACTTTTTCGCAGTTGCCTTATGCAGTGGCCTGATGCCGGTAGCGCCATTAGCGCCGGTGCAACGGCTTCTGTATGGTCGCCTGTCCTATTTTTGCCTGAATCATTGACACAGTCAGTCGGTCCAGCTGACGAAGGGACGAGCGGTGGGCAGGATTCGGTTTCTTATTTGTTGCAGATTTAACATGAGCACAACTTAAGGAGCATTAACAACGAAGATCTAACAGCCAAAACGATTGCAGCTCAGCGATTCAGCTTTGTTGATTGCTTCCCGTTGGAATATTCTTTCGGTTTGGGGCAGAGATGAAAATAACGGCACGAAAAAAGAAGCGTCAGCAGATCGACTGACGTCTTGCTGTTTGCTGTCGTTTATGTTTTGCCTGTTACTTTCGTAAAAGTTCGCAGTATAAGTTGGATTACCGTTTACTGCCGTAGTATAACAATCACTACGTCGATCACTAATACTAGCATTCAATTCGGGGATAGGATTAATACAGAGCGAAAGCAAACAAGTCATCTAGAAGTAGCTAGCAAATTTAGCGTTTGTCTCCGTCTGTCTAACTGCTTTTCCGACGCAGAGTGACTGAAGTGTCTTGTCATATAGGTTAATCTTACTTTTGAAAACTGAATTGTGTGTGGTGTCCAATCGTTACTCAATTCCATCGATGTACACCGAAATTGTTCGAAAGAAACGTTTACCTTTCAAGAAGATTAGGAAATAGGTTAAGGACTTAGGTTGTGGCGTTCACAGCGTCTTCAACCTGACTGTAACACTGCTGGCACGCGTACAACGGGCAAAATCGTTTGAATTGGAATAACCTTTGACTTGGCCCAATGCTTTTCGCTGAGGAATGGCACTAGAACAATAAATTGCAATCGCCGTGGCACGATATTGTTCTAATGTCTGTTGACGTGCCTATGGACATCATCCTTTCATTAATTTTACATGTTTACTGATTGTCATTGACGCTGTCTATCAATGGCCCAAGTATATCTTTAGGGTATTCATATAGCTGCGGTGGCCAGGACTAGTAAAAGTGCGTGGCAGACCGTGCTAATTGTGACCTTATAGCTGTTGGATACGCCTTGGTACATTTACCGCATCATCTTTATTATAATCCAGAGAGGAATCACCGAACGGGAACAGGCAGAAGACGACTAACCACGTGTGTCTGTCTGATATGAAACGGATTGATAAGCCTGGCTAGGGAGTTAGACATTGTACTGTTCGTCATTTGGCAAATGTAAAGCATTGCCACGCTATGGCACACTGAGTATAGAATCGCAATCGAGGAAGGCTGTGTCAACAAAAAGCTTGATTTCTTTTTCCAGCAGAGAAATGGTATTACTAATGTTTACAGAGAGACCGAGTGACTGAGAAATGATATACGACCTGTACTAGATCGCGTTGTTGTAACTACCTTAAAATAAGTAGTTTAGAGTGTAAGCAACCTTTTCGGCGTCCTTCATCGGCAGTGTGTAAAAGGTGTCACTATCAGCAGCCCTCTAAGGGCTTTCTCCAATTGTTTCAAAACAACAGCGAAAATCACATTCAAAAAAGGATTTCTTAAGGTCGCACTTCAGCTGAATGAATCCCCGGACACTGTAGGTATGGGATCATTGGATTAGTAACATGTTTACGCAAGGCTCAGTCATGATTTGTTCTGTCGTAGTATAAGGTTAGCCATTTAGGAGACGCACTTAGTAAGCGCATTCTCCTACACCTAGTCATAAATCCGATCGATTATCACATTAAACTCTACACCTAGTTGCTCCAGTAAAATGAATGAGAACAATGCTCCGTTGCGGTGACTATATTGAAACTATAAACATGGCTTTGCTGCCTATTTCAGTAAACTTGTCATGTATTGTGTTCCATTAAATCATCATACTTTTTCAACAAAATGCTTCAAATTCTTATCGAAAAAATCGAATCGCTAT